TATAAATATTATTTTTGATTTAATCAATTAAAATTATTCATGTGTTAATGATGTTAAAATATATGTCAAATTTTTATAATTTTTAATATAAATTAATTAAAAAAAATATTTATTACACTTTTAATTTGTATCTTTAGAGTACATGTTAGACAAACTTAATAAAATTATTGAATTGAGAGGGTCTTTAATATATATTAAGAGATTTACTTTTTATTTAGTAATTAATATTTTATAATTTAATAAAATTTAAATTATATAATATTTTTTTCAAGAACCAAAAAAAGAGTAGAAGAATTATGATAAACAAACATTTTCTATAAAAATTAGGATTTTTAGATTTGCAGCTTACTTTGCATAGATAACACATTTTATAATAATTAATAAAAGAGGAATCACTTTAACATCATGAAATCTACCTCTCATCATTGATTTGCAGCCTAATTTGTGTATACAACACATATTATAATTATTAATAAAGGAGAAATCACTTTAATATTAAGAAATTTATTTTCTATCAATAGTTATAATATATGTAGTTTGCTTAGGATAGATTGTAAATTATTTTTCTATAAAAAAAATAAACATTTTAGAAATATGAATGAGGACTTTTGTTCGCTTTAACCAAAAGAAAAGAAAAAAAAAAAAGAAAGAAAAAAACATTACTTACTACTATAAGTGGAGAAAAAGGTAATTGTCTTTGGCCTGCTTAAGAAGATTTCTACGATAAATTCTTGCAAACAACTTTAAACTTTAAAAGTATTTGTATAAAAAGTTTTATTAAACACTTTTAATTTTTAACAAATAAAATTTTTATAATTGATTCTCACAAACAAAATTTCTGTGAAAAAACTCCTACTGCCCCAAATTGGCTCTCTATCACTTTCGAGTTCAATACGCAAACGGGTAATGTGGATTCGGCCTTTTCTTGGAGAGTCAAAAATGGGTTCGGGCTTTGATGACGTCGGAGACGAATTTAGTTTTTTATTGGGCCAGTCACATGAGGACTGCTTTTTTTTTTTTTTTTTATGGCAGAGTCTCATGAGCGCTGGTATAATGTATATGGTCTCAATTAGAGTATCATGGAATTATATATATATATATATATATATTATCATATCATGAAATTAATTTGAAAAGAGAATTATATTAAAGTTTGATTTTAGATGGGTGAAATAATATAAGTTCCAATTAAGTATCATTCATTATGTGATTGAAATTAAATTTTTTTATACTTTTAATGTCAAGACATCATAATTCTTATTTTAAAATTTTAAATGCAAAGAATTGTTGGCTTACTGTGAACTGAGAACTAGTGAGAACTTCAACATGAGTTGTTAATATTCTTTCTTTATTTTAAAATAGCTATTATTTTTGTTATTTTCTTTAAATTAAAGATTTGAGAATAATTTATATGTTTATTTATATTATATTTAAAAATAAAATACTAAAAGATAAAGTTGTGATAGGATGAATAAAGTAAATAGATAATCATATAAGTAAAATTGGAACAAATATTTATTTACCTTAAAAAATAAGAAAAGGACAATTAATTTAGGACTGATAGGGTAAAAAAAGAAGTATTTTTAATATCAACCCAAAAAAGTACATTTAATGATGAGTAGAGGATAACCATCTCCATCCATATTAATTTTTAAATTTAGTACATCTTCAAGTTTTTACTAATTAAAACATTCATAACAAGTTTTAAGAAAGAGATATGAAATGTTGGGCGGTCCATTTTTGTTTTTTTTGAACAATTACAATTTTTGGGGAATGGGGTCAAGAGCTCTCAAATCTTGGCTAAGTGTAGCGTTGAGCTAAAATATCCAAACCCAAAAAGATACCCGATAACCAATTTTCAAATGCCGAATGGTTTCAACTTAATTGGGCTTTGAGCCCAAATTTTTGGTGTTTGGCAAAAACTGAAAAAACAAGGGTTCGGGTTCGGCGCGTAGGGACCAAAATGATAACTGAGATAGTGCCTCTAGTTTACCCATAAAAAGAAAAAAAAAGAAGATTTTTTCAATGTAAAACAAAAAGTTAAATTAATAAAATAAAGTAGATATTTGTGGATTTAAACTTTAAATTTAAACTCAACAGTCCCGCACATGGTGATCTATTGACCACCCTTTACGGACATGCATAGGATTAATGAGACCTGGGATCCTTCCCCTTCCCGGAAAAAAAACAAAGTTTCCCACTGTTCAAAAAAGAAATTTAAACTCAACAATTTGTTACCATATGTGTCCCTAATATGTCATATCTCATAGTATTGGACTATTTGTTTCTCCGAGGCAGGCCCCACCATAACATTAAAATGGTTCATCTTCTTTGCCTCTCCACATCTTTCATATCCATCATCTTCCCTTCGTGTTCACACCCGAAGTGTCAAACTCGTGAAACTTTTTAGTCATCTAATCTTGCTGGACCTTTTTTTTTTAACCTTCAATCTTGTTAAACGTACACTT